ACACTCTTGTAGGACACTCTTCTGGGACACTCTTGTGGGACACTCTTGTGGGTCACTCTTGTAGGAAACTCTTGTTGGACACTCTTGTAGGACACTCTTCTGGGACACTCTTGTGGGACACTCTTATCGGACACTCTTAGGGTCACTCTTGTAGGAAACTCTTGAGCGACACTGTTGCGGGACACTCTTGTGGGACACTCTTGTGGGACACTCTTGTAGGACACTCTTGTGGGTCACTCTTGTAGGAAACTCTTGTGGGACATTCTTGTAGGACACTCTTGTGGGACACTCTGGTAGGACTCTCTTGTGGGACACTCTTGTAGGACACTCTTGTGGGATACTCCTGTAGGACTCTCTTAAGGGACACTCTTGTGAGACACTCTAGTGGGACAGTCTTGTAGGACACTCTTGTGGGACACTCTTGTGGGTCACGCTTGTAGGACACTCTTGTGGGTCACTCTTGTAGGACACTCTTGTGGGACACTCTTATAGGACACTCTTGTGGGTCACTCTTGTAGGAAACTCTTGAGCGACACTGTTGCGGGACACTCTTGTGGGACACTCTTGTGGGACACTCTTGTAGGACACTCTTGTGGGACAGTCTTGTAGGACACTCTTGTGGGACACTCTTGTGGGACACTCTTTTGGGACACTCTTGTGGGACACTCTTGTAGGACACTCTTGTGGGACTGTCTTGTAGGACACTCTTGTGGGACACTCTTGTGGGACACTCTTGCGGGACACTCTTGTAGGACACTCTTGTGGGATACTCCTGTAGGACACTCTTAAGGAACACTCTTGTGAGACACTCTCCAAAACGAGCCTTTCACAAGGTCATCGCTCTGCTGGTGGATGAGAGACAGAACCGTATGTGGTGTGAGGCCATTGGTTCCAAGCCGGGAATGGAAGCTTTGATGCAGAAACTGTCTGTGAATGCGTTGGTGATTTTCCAAGCTCCCTGCTTCAAACGCAGCCCTTACCACTCAGGAGGCCGATTTTTAGATTTGACGCGCAAGCAGAAAGTGGTAGTGGACGCTCTTCCACCCACTGATGCTGCCTACGTTCCTTTGAAGCACTCTGTGCAAAAAGGACCGTGCACACCAGGAGAAATTGCGGATCTGCAAGGATTGCAGAATGGCAACAAGGCTGACTTGACTTGCAAGATTTGCGACCTCAATCATCGCATCATCAAAGAAAATCAGGCAGGATACTCTGAAAGCATGTGTCTTTCTTTTCTTGACATAATTTTATATGTTGGTTGGATTTGCAAAAAGAAACGTGACAGTCTCGCTTTGCTCCCAGGAGAAGACAGAGCTCTGGGTGAAGGATGCTTCTGACAAGAGACTCTTGGTTGAAGCTTGGGGTAGAAGTTTTGCAGAGACGTTGCAGGACATCGGTGTCGACGAAGTGGTATGCCTCATGAACTTCTCTGTCAGAGGCGATGGAACCTCTGTCAGGGGCCATCAGGCGTGAGTGGCAGATTGGGGATGCCATTAAGCTACTGTCTCCACCATCAGGCAGCAGTCCAACTGAGTCTCCAGAGGAACCTCCACCACCTCCACCGTCCCCACCACCAGCTCCATCAGCAGTCCAGACAGAGGCAAAAGCAAGTGCAAAAGCAAAAGCAGCAGCAAAAGCATCACCTTTTGCACACCCGTCTGCAGGCCTTTAGTTGTGTGTTGGTACTTGTGTTGGTAATGCAAATTTCTTGATGTTTTCTGTCTGGAGAGTATGCTGGACAGTCGGATCGGGGCTCGGCTTTTGCGGTGAAGCCTGGAGCGGATGATGTTCTACGACGCTTCGAAGAGGTGACTCGCGAAGGTGGCGAGAAAATTTCGGTGCCTTGGCAGCCGTCCATGACCACACAGATGTCGGTTGAAGGCAAATGCTTCGTCGCTTGCTTGGCTTCTGCGCGGAATTCTTCTTTGGCTTTTGGTACAGAGTTGGCCCAACCCATCCAGAACCGTTCCAGTACCTCAGTCTCTGGTCATGACAAAGTCTCCAAAACGAGCGTTTCGTACGAGACTTCCTCAAAAACTCACACGTCAAAGTCTGCAAAACGTACGAGACTTCCTCCAAAAGTCAAGCCGAAACACCCATCGGAGCGCACACATCACGCAGCCCTGCCAAGCAGTTTCGCGATTCCAGCCCCTCCAAACAACATCCGCTCACACGCCAATCCCAATGTGACAGCGACATTCACCTCTACCACAACTCACAACCTCACGATTCCCTGCGCCTGCCACGAATCTTTCCGCGTCCACACGTCTAACGCGCACAAAGTACTGCGCCTGCCACGAAATGTCACCTCCGTCACACCTCGCAACCTCACGATTCCCTGTGCCTGCCACGAGAATCGCACTTCCACGCCTCAAAACCCGCGCAAAGTCCTGCGCCTGCCACGAAAAGTGACAAGATCATCGCATGTGAGCTTCAACAAAATTTGCACCACACCACACGTTTGGAATGATTTCGACCCGTTCTGAGCACACTCCCATCCACCAAAATCGCCATTTCAGCTGAGACTTGTCACGAAAACCGAGCTTCGATGCCACACCCTGAAACGCAAATCTCAATGGCACGGCCACATCCAACACCCCAAAAACACGACTCTCCAAACGCTAATCCCAATGGAACTGCGCAGCAATCTGCGGATCTCACAAAACGCTGCGCCTGTGCAGCGAAATGCATCACGTCTCTTGCGCGACATGTCATTCTCATGCAAATCACAATGGAATAGCGGCGCAAACTGACACGTGACACATCCATGAAAAGTCACTTGCAAAAGCTTCCCCCAATGGCAGCGAATTTGAGACGCGACGACGACGACAAACGACGACAAACGACGAGAGACGACGACAGACAACGAGAGACGACGACAGACGACGACAGGACGCAAGCAATGACAGCTCCAACCCCCAGACCCCCAACTATAAACGGGAACCCTTCGCTACCAATGCATTCGGAAAAAAACCTATGCATCTTGTCTCGTCATTTCATAAAAAGGGTCGGTTTGGCTCCTGTGTACATTTTATAAACAGTGAGTCTTTTTAACATAGAGACAGCAGGCTGTTGGTTGCTCATTTTATAAACAAGTAATGGTGTGAGAGAATAGAACCATTTTATGAAGCATATGTGAATTGCTGCTGCGTGGTTCAGTTTTGACATGTTTGCCAATTGATTTAATAGTCCTTGGAAGGGGAAAACTATTTTATAAACCATTCCCTCTGCCAAAGAGCTGGAGGGTGTGGACAAATACGATGAGCCTTGGCAGGGAACAATATTTATAAATGGTTTGCCATCTATTTCCTGGGAGGGTGTGGACAAATACGATGGGCCTTGGGAGGTGGAAAAAGGTTAATAAAATGGGTTTATCAGCTTTTCTTTGGCAGGGTGTGCACAAATACGATGGGCTTCGCGAGGTGAACATGTTTACAAAATGGGTTTACCATGTTTTCCCTGGGAGGGTGTGCACAAGTACGATGGGCTTTGGGAGGTGAAAATGTTCAAGCAAATACGATGAGCTTTGGGAGGTGAACGTGTTTATAAAATGGGTTTACCATCTTTTCCCTGGGTGTGCACAAATACGATGGGCTTTGGGAGGTGAACATGTTTATAAAATGGGTTTACCATCTTTTCCTTGGGAGGGTGTGCACAAATACGATAGGCATTGGGAGGTGAACATGTTTATAAAATGGGTTTACAATCTTTTCCCTGGGAGGGTGTGCACAAATACGATGGGCAGGGTGCGGTTTATAAAATGAGGCGATCCAACCTCCGCGTTTTGGGTCACTTTTTTGCGCTGTGGTTGAATCGCTTACAATAGTGGCCCTACAACCAAGGTTTCTAGTACATACCTGGGTTTGCATGGGCCTATCACACCATAATGAGCCATTTATGGTATAGCCGTATAGTGGCTATAGGCTCCCTGTAGGTAAATCCTATGCAGGACTAGTTTCTGTGAATTCTTTTTGAAGAAGAATCACACTCAAAACATCTCAAAAGAATGAAAGTCAACGTTAATATCAAAACGAGGGAGCAACTGTGCAATTTAAGACAAGTGATAGCAACCGAATGCAATCATCTCAACAAACTTGCAAGCAAAAACATGTGAAACACAACAATGCCAAAAGGAAAAACACTGCACACATAAATATGTTCATTGATGTTCATTGAACATTTTGACATGATTTTGTGTGCTGATCGAAACCTGAGCATTCACCATGTGCCACGTTCAAATGATGGGAAATTAATGGAAATGTTTTGATTCGGTTGCTATCACTTGTCTTAAATTGCACAGTTGCTCCCTTGTGTTGATATTAAAGTTGACTTTCATTCTTTTGAGATGTTTTGAGTGAATTATTCTTCTTCAAAAAGAGTTAACAGAAACTAGTCCTGCATAGGATTTGCCTACATGGAGCCTATAGCCACTATAGTGCTATACCATAAATGGCTCATTATAGTGTGATAGTCCCATGCAGGCTCCCATGGCTTTAGACTTATAGTGGACACAACCACAGCAAGATGTTGGTTGATCATTCCATAAACATGGACCATTTTCGGATCAAAATGATCACTGGCTCATGGAAAACCATTCCATAAAGAGGAAAAATGCGTTTGCGGATTTTCATTTTTTGCTTTTGTATGTTGTCTCGCCCTTATATAAATAGGTCGGGTTCTCATTTTATAAAGCAGCAGCCTGAGGGATTCCATTTTATATATGATTTTTCTTTCTGAAATCAAATCCCTCACCCCAGAGACCTCCACAAGGGGGATGTTAAAGGGTATACCTATAGGATAGTCTAGTTCGGGTTCTTCAACCTCTGCTGGAAGGAGTCAGGGAGAATTCGTGCGACCAAAAATCGTTGTCCCTTTGGTCCAAAATGGGCACCGAGCCGGCGGGTCCCGCTTGGGCACCGTTTCAGCCCAAGGGCCGGTCGTCGGTCACACGTACCAGACACGAGTCAAGTGCTTGACCAGACCACGTGATTTTGGTATATAGGGCTGTGGGTCATGGCACCAGGATCACTTGGTTGATCTAGTTCGTGGATGCTGGAGTGTAACTGCTGTAGGCCTCCATCCTCCACAAGTGAGCAAGTGACTGCCCGGCCGTGATACGTGTGTGGGGTTCCAAACGTGGTTTCTGCATGCTTGCGCCCCCCGCAACATGGACCCTGAACATGACCCCGTGGTTTCGACCAGTTTCCTTTACAACCATGTGGTTTTGAGAGTCCATGGGGTCCTTTGAAGGAGGGTAGATGAGATGTTGGACCCTGGTGCCTCTGAGGCATGGTTCCATCACTTCGACAAAGATCAGAGCTATCGCCGCGTGGCGTTCACGAAGGAGTTGCACTGGGTGCTTCGGGCTTCACTGGTGGGTTCCATCTATGGTTTAATCTCCAGAATTTGGGTAATTCATGGATGGGTAACGGATTCGTTCAAACATGCTCCTGCGGTCCACAGGCCACTGTTGTTTGCGTACTATGACATGGACATACAATTGGTCCGCGCAGATTGCACCAAAACTGATAAGGCACCCCTGTCAAAGCTCATGACACGGATACCAAGAAGTCGAACGCAAGTATTCAGGCGTTTGGATTGATCTCCTTTCAACTTGCAGCTATACATAAAACTGATCAAAATTGCGTTGATCAAAGCTCTGTTGACCTGACTGCACCGAGTTCTGCACATCCCCAAAAATGGCTGCAATGCATGTTGACTCCGTTCCTTTCCCAAACGCGCTCGTCTGAGAGGGTGCCTTTCCGCTAAGGAATCGACTATCGAGAGTTCGACAAGGGTCTCAAGGCCATGCCCGGAGCCCGCGGTGCGCATCACGAGCGGAACCTTCTTCCAGACTTGATCGATGCAAGGGGTGGTTTTCGCTTTTCTCCGGGATCTTCAGTTCGGATTGTTTGGGACGAGTGTCCATTTCCCTTCATTTGTCCATCGTCCAGGGGTGAGAAGTGACATCGTCAGTGTCATGATTGGCAACATCCGGAAGACTGGCCTCAACTACAATGTCCAGCACTTCAGGAAAAAACAAAACACGACACAACTCACAAGGCATGCTTATACGTTTTTTTTGATAATGCGAGTTCGATGAGATTTTGCAGCAATTCGCAGAGCCGTTGAAGTCTCCGTTCACGGCCCCCCTTGCTATCCCTGCCTTTCCCCTTATGGATCCACATACCCTTTTCAGAAGGTGATTGGAGACACTTTCATATAGGGTCCAGTCGTGCCTTGCTATCCCCTGAGAAGGTGGCAGTGGATCTGTCGGAGTGTCCGCGCGCCTTCTCAGACCGGACCATCATGATTGACCTGGTTTGTAGTCTCCCTAGGGCTCCTGGCCCACCTCCTGAGGTTCGGTGGTTGGGGTGTGTTTTGGGGGTCTAACCACCTTCTGAGGAGATGGGCCAGGAGCCCTAGGGTCTAAAATTCCCGAACGGTTCTTTGGGATTCAGACCATATCAATGCTTGGCCAGGAACCCCAGGAATCACAGGCGCCAAAAGGGTTTCCAGGAGTTTTAGATCACATGTGAGCTACTGTTTTTGACCGTCATGACTGGGCCTTGCCGGTCATGCCGGGCAGATTCCCTGCATCCGCCACTGGAGGAGCTGAAGTTTGGTGGCCAAAAGGAGGATTGTGTGAAGCTTTGGCAGGCGCGCGGTCGCCAGTTCTTGCCACCAGTCATTGGTGGTTCCGTTCAGCATCGGAGGGGCTACTGTACATAGATCTGAACCCAGACAATGTATGGAATAGGTTGAAACTATATAGGTTTATACATAATGTTTATACCCTATGCCTATAAATACACATGTTCATAGGGCTTTATGTGGGAACTCTTCCAATCCCAATGATCCTTGTTTGGGTTGCGCCTATCCCCACCGAGACGGGCCGTTCGCTCTCGCCGCCCCCGGCGGCGCTCTCGACCCCGGAGGAGTTGGACGAGGACAACTCCGGCGAGATCTCCTTCGAAGAGTTCGCGGAGCCCCAGGAGGCCGGGCTGGACGGGGTCCCGGACGGGCTGGATGGGTCAGAAGGCACCGAGCATGGAGATGGTGGATGGAGAGCATGGAGAAGTGTCAGCCGCAGCCACGCATGCTCGGCTTCGGAAGGAATCCAATGGGCAGTAGCAGTTGGCCTACTAAGAAGGCTTACTAGTTTACTTTGAGTGGAGGTTGCCTCAACCGTTTCCCCAGTGGAATGTCAGGCAGCCACAAGTTCGGTCTGCGGGTTTCCTTCGGTCTACGGGTGACCTACGGTCTACGGGTGACCTAAGTGACCTATGCAGGACGCACTCGTGGTAAGTGGAGGTGGGTTGAGCATCCGCACGTGGTGGACATGGAGCCCAAGAGATGGTTTGTACACACCGACCCGTTCCGAACCTGGTATATGGATTAGGGCTCCAACCACCTCCTCGGAAGCTGGTTGGGGTGGGATTCACGGGTCAAACCACCTTTGCAGGAGATTGTTGGAGCCCTATAGGGTATGTGTGTGGTTGTGTGTGCAGTGTGCGTGTTGTGGATGTATGTTGGGTGGATCCGGTTTCCACCTACAAAGGAATCCCAATCCAGCACCACCACACGGTTTGTTTGTAGACCTCCTGACCAAGTGTTCACTAACGACCACCCTTGAGGTGGTTCTAGTTGTTGCTGTTGGTCAGGGAATGCTCCAAAAAATGAGGTTTGGATCAGCTATGCCACTGATTCCGTGGCTCGCGGCTTGAAACATCATCCCGATTCCGCCTTTCGGGGGGTTGGCTTTCAGGCAGGGAAATGTTCATAACATCATCGATAATCATTTGCTCAACAATTGGAACGTCACGGGGCAAAGAGCTCATGGATTGAAAGACTCCACGCCCAATCTCGCCGCCTGAAAAGCTCGCCGCCTGAAAAACATCACGACTTGCGCTATATAAGCTCAGGGCGCCATGCAACGGCAAACAGGCAAAAACCGTTTACGCCCAACTCCTACCAACTCCTGTGTCCCACGATTGAGAGTGTTTTTGGTGGGCAAGGAGCCATGGGCCATGACCAACCACATGTCTTGCAAGATGTTTCAGAATGGGTTCCCACCGCTTGTTCAACATGTTTTGCCCCACATACTGCTTATTTGGTTGTTTCTCCGCTAGGTTTGTACCTAAAACAACGCCCAGGAGACTGAACAAAAGCAGAAAAGAATTGCAAAGACTGTTTGGAGTCTAGCCACTCCAATGTTGACACTCACTCGGACGTCTCTGACGATCTATGACATTCAAAGTCAGATCAGACAGACTGACTTTCATGCATCTCTTTGACACCCTTTCTTGAAGACTCTATATTGGCGTTGATGTTTTTTTTGGGGGGGTAGCACCTTGGCAGCGCCACCATCGCTTCACCATGGACGCCACCCCCGCCCATGCGCCGCGAGCGGCGCTGCCGCGGTGGGCGCGGTCTGGCTGCCAGCGGCCGCTGCGCTGCTCGTAGGGAGCACATGGGCGCCACTTGGGCGAAGAGGTGTGAGGTCTATCCATGGCCAAGAGTGGTAGACCTGAGGTACTCCATACCTCCAGTTAAGGGCACATCAGGCCAATCATTTGGGGGAGATGAAAAAATGTTGTTCTGGGCAAGCTTTTTAGCAGGTGGCAGTTATGGGAGCAGCAGGTCGTCATGGTTTCATGGGCGGTTCATAGCCCTGGTTTTGCTTGAGGCGATTGTTAGTTTTTCCTATAGGGGTCACAAAAGGTGAATCCGGAATCCCCTTCTGGGATTCTTTGTTCAGGTTCCTTGAGCAAATCCGTAGCTATCTCCAGATTCTGCTTCATCCTCGAAAGAGATGGTGGTTGGGGTGGCACCTCCTGAGGAGATGGTTGGAGCCCTAGGGTATGTTGGGCAACCACTTCAGGACCTCCTTGGGCAACCACCCCGCGCCGATCCTCCTCACTTCCGGCGTCTCCACCACCTCCGAGCCGTCCCACAGACCGAACCAGGTCGGTATGGTGAGGACGTAGGAGGTACACCAGGACCCCCCCAAACCCTATAGGGATCCAGTGGTACCGTACCTCAGGTACGGTGAGGACGGAGTCTATTGATGTAGGCGCCATTGGAGGGCCCAGTCGTACCGAACCTGAGATGTGGGTGGTTAGGGTACGGTATGTTAGGGTACATGTAGTGATGCCCCGATGTCGTAGGCGCGGGTGTCCAAGACATTTGGTCGACCTGGGGATCTGCGAACTTCTATTTATGACAGGGGGTCTATATAGACTAGACCCTGATCTGAAAAGAACGCAGAATGGTGGCAGGGAGTGTGGCAGGGTTTTTGTTAGAACTTGTGGACATGGTGCCAAGGATGGAAGGTACATGGCCATCCCTGTGTGAGTGTGGCAATAGTTTGGCTAAAGTCAACGGTGATATGTTTCTTCACGGTCTCGAATACGACTTGGATTTCTTGACAACGGCCAGGCCTTGCGACACTCCCCTAGGGCTCCAACCATATCCTCAGAAGGTGGTTAGACCCCCAAAGCCCACCCCAACCACTTTCTCAGGAGGTGGTTGGAGCCCAAGGGATCTACAGTACAATTTCTTCCAGCGTGCACATTTGAGGTCTTGTGAAGAGGAGTTCAAGGCAAAACAGCAGGCTCGGGCAGCGCTGTGGAGGGAGATTTGGGTTCTCTCTCCGGCCTGTTGGAACACCGATGCTTACTCTTGCCAGTCTAAGTTGGTGGGAATATTTTGAATTAAGACTTATTTGAATTTATTTGATAACCTTTGTGGTTTATTTGCGTTTGATGAGCAGATTCCGTGCTTGTGGGTAGTTTGCTCTTCCTGTGATCCCACTGAAGAAGGATGATTTCACCCGCAAAGAAGCATGGAACCCTCAAAGATCATGTGTGATTGCGGATCCTCAAATCAGTCTGAAACATGCATGATAGATAATTTACATCTAGTTGATACATGGTACTGAGGACAAAAAGAGGACGAGTTCACCTCAGAAAAGCTAGGCGAGTTCTATTGAGGTTGATTGCAGGAGAGGTGTGCTTGACTAGCCCAGTGTAAGTTTCGCGGGACAAGAGTCATGAGCAACCATCGCTGGATTCTTCCCAGTGGCTTGTGGGCCATTGACACCCAATCGTGCAAATGCCAGGAATTTACCACGCACCTTGGCTGTCCGACTTGCTTCCTGCGACTTAGAGGTGGCCAGGCAGTGCAGATAGAGGAGCTTCGAGGCATTCTTTCCTCCAGGTGTTGATCATCCAAACGCTCCATGTAATTATGGCATACTTACCATCCGGATACTTTGAGGGGTCAATGTCAATGTACCTTTGGATTCCATTGCACTGAGATAGGTCTCGCAGAGCTTCCAGGGAGCTTCCTAGTGATTTTGTGTGGAATGTGTCCTCCGCAAAAAAACATGGTATGGAATATGTTTAGCAGTGACATAATTTGGCTTTCCATATGAGGGCCGTCCATAAATGCACATAGGGGAATATAGTTGCACAAGGCGGCCAGTAACTTCGGACAAGATGTGTTCAGCAGTTCATGCTGATTCCATTCCACATGTGGCTCAGAAAGCCAGACACCGTGACCCTAGAGGTTAAGCTTATGTTGTTTGCCCATGGCTTAGGAACCGCGGCCTGCAAACACATTGAGGTTCGCTGTTGGGCAACATGGCTAACAAGAGAAAGCTTCCCGATGCCAGTACCTGGAGTCTTCATAAGGAGTGCTTCCTTTAAGACAAATGCGCAAAACATACACAGATGATCCCAACACTTTTTGGACTCATGATTTATCATCTCATCCTACAAGGAGGTTCATTGGAGGCAATTGCCTTGCTTCATGTTGAGGATCAACCACGGATCGCCACGGTGTCATCACCATCTTCCAAACCCACCTTCGCTTCGCAAACCTGCAGCGAATCCACGCTCAGCCAGGTATGGAGCCTTCCCCTTCAAGATCGCTCGAGGAGAATGGATTCCTCAGGCCATTCAGGAGTACTTCTTGATGGAGCCTTGGTGTAGGTGAAGCATCCTGGTGGTCCTCTGGTGGTCCTCCCAAGACCCCACGAAACGCGTGGAATTGGCCGGCAAGGTGGCGCTAGGTGGTGCAGGAGTAAGTGTGCAACCCCAGGGCTGTGTCCAGAAGCCTTGTTGCAGGGCGATCTCATTTTAGCTGTAGAATCTGGATGGTATTGGTACCCCTGAAGAGGTTTTACAATTAGGGGGGTTGAATAATTCTCCGGATTCTACAGCTGTTTCTTGACACCCACCCCCCCCATCCCCAGACCTCCCGACGACCTCTCCGGTCTTTCTCGGGAGTCTTTCGTTTTTCCTCGAGGAAGGGGACGAAAACGTGGTCCAGCTCAAGAAGCTGTCCAATTGGGTGCACCAGACGCTGAGCTGAATGGGATGGACCCGACGACGGACCCGAGTTGCTCGTCAGACGCGGAGTCCTGACGTTGGAACATGGCCCCAATGGCAGTCTTAGAGTCTGTTGGTTTGTTTTAGTCAGCTCGTGTCAGCTCGTGTGCTCAATTGCTTTGCTTTGATGGCCGGAACCGAATTTGTGCGGGCTGAGACATCTCGACGCTTTTGGGAGAATTCAGCCAGGTGTGCAAAGCACCCTAGGACCTACAGGAGTTGCCAGGGTCAGATGCTTAGGGGGACTTATGATGTTCCAAGACGTGCTTCAACATATCTAAAGAGAGGTGCAGTGACCTGAACTAGAACCCGGAACCTGGGGTACCTATGGACCTATGGGATCTGGGCAAATTAAGGCGAGCTCACCTGACAAGGTACGAGGTAGAATAATTTCAAAACAAAAATAAGCGAGGTAAGTCCAGCAACAGCAGCAGCACAAAGGATTTGAGCTTGTAAGGGACACTGCTGGGCGTAGCTTCCAGGAGCTACAGGGACTCCACTCACCATGCCACACAGAAGCCCCAAGAATACCAAAAACAAAAAAACAACCTATTTTTAAGAAATAGGCCCGATTTTTGTCCCAAGCATGCTTGAAGGGTTTGGGGCTTGTAGAGGCCACTGCTGGGTGTAGTTTCCAGGAGCTACAGGGGAGCCACTCACCACGCCACACAGAAGCCTCAAGAATACCAAAAACAAAAAACAACCAATTTTTAAGAAATAGGCCCGATTTTTGTTCCAAGCATGCTTGAAGGGACTGGGGCTTGTAGAGGCCACTGTTGGGTGTAGTTTCTAGGAGCTTCAGGGGCTCAACTCACCACGCCACACAGAAGCCCCAAGAATACCAAAAACAAAAAACAACCTATTAAGAAATAGGCCCGATTTTGACCCAAGCATGCTTGAAGGGATTGGGGCTTGTAGGGGCCACTGTTGGGTGTAGTTTCCAGAAGCTATAGGGATTCTTCCACCCACCATGCAGGGCAGAGAGCCCCAAGAATCCCAAAGGCAAAAAACAACCTATTGTCAAGAAATAGGCCCGATTACTAGTTTGCACGTGCAGGAAGTCATGGCAGGCATTCAGGCCCCCCCCTCCACCAAATGCAGACGAGGTGAATGAAATTATTGAAATTAAACGAGGCGAGGTGAATAATTTCAAAACATGAAATTAAGACGAGGCACGAGGTGAACGAAATTAATGAAACTAATTTAATTCACTCAGATGGGATAGTCGAACAGTCGGGTTCTTTCAACCTGTGTTGTTGCCCTGCAATCCTTGACTAACCGTGACCAACCCATAGACTTGAAAAACGTACCTTGACTGCAATCCGTTGGCATTTGTTGCCCTGCAATCCTTAAACTTGCGCTTCGAGCAAGAATGCCTCTCGCGAATGCCTCTTTTTGCCGACGTAGAATAGAATGCCCATGCAGGAGAGATAGATAGAGAGAGAGAGAGATGGGTGGCTTGGACCTTAAAAACCGACAAGCAGACCCGAAGAACACCCGCAAAAACGCCCAAAAAATGCAGATATTCCATGATACAGGGATTCTTTGGGTTTGTAGGTTGTCCCTCAGTTGACTTACAGTTTGGGTGCTGGTGGACATAGGAAAGTTTCAGGAAATGAATCCCGCTGTGCATAGCCTTTAAAAATGAACCACTGGCCATGCCCTTCCCAGTAGCTTATTTCAGATTTGGGCCATTCGCACATGCAACCGCACTGAGTATGCTGGTGGCCTGCTGGTCGATTGGAGGTCGCATGTGGGAGGTCCGTTTGCAGTGGAACACCACCGTTTGGCATCGCGATAGCTTGGAGGACGCGCGCGAGAGAGAGAGTGAGTGAGTGAGTGAGTGAGTGAGAGTAGATGAGACCAACGTGATGTTTTTGCGGGCATCAATTTGTGAAAAGCTGCGCCCTATATGCTCAAGATCCCAAACTGGAATATGTGTTGATTTGAGGGGTCAGTCCGGAGACTTTGGGTCTCTCAAACACTCCATGATAATTAGGACATATATGGCCTACATTGACCCCCGCCAAGCTCAAACCACCCCAGACTGAATCGGCAGCCTTGCGCTAGTCCCGGTCGTTTCCTTTTTTGGGCGCAATCCGGCAGCTGATTGAACTGTACATTGCCAAGGGGCACCCAGACACGGCTTGCTGGCGTTTTTTGAAAAACGTTTGTAGCGAGAGTGCGCCGCTCTGCGGCCCGTTGTGTGTGTGTGTCCACCTCCATCTCTAGGAGTACGATGAAGCACCTAGCAGGGGGGCTGGTTGTTCATGCAAGTACCAGCCCAACGAAGAGGCTTGCATTGAACACTGATATCGGTGGGACGCTCGCCGACGTACCTGCTCTGAACACAGTGACTCCAGTGGTTCACCCTCGCCCAGGCTGTTTCCAGGTCCTTCAGTTTTGTTTCAACATTTCATTTGCGCTGACTGATCGCCTTTGCGGTGTGCAAGTCAAGGGCTACGTATTCACTTAAAGTATCTTAAAGTGCTACTGCGTTGCTGACGACCACTGAACATAATGCTCATTCACTTGAGCTATGAGTCTAAGTGTGTGTGTGTGGCTTCTCAGAGGCCACCCTCTCATGGCTTTGCCGTTGGCACAGCATTCAGCGACCTCGTAGGACCTGACAGAGATCCATAACACGGTGTGCGCGCCTGCCAGTGGCTCGCTGCTGCAAATGGCTTTCGGAGCACCCGAGAGGACAGACGTTGGAGGAATCTCCAGGGTGTCAGATCTGTTTTTGGGAGGCCTTTGAAGAATTGTTTTGGCTCTTATACTTATAATGGGCCTGATAGGGGTGGTAGAGGAAAGTCAATCACACTGAGAACTGGCATTTTCCATCTTGAAAGTCTATGGCTTTTGCCACAGGGTGGTATGAGCATTGGACTCACCCCAGCTACAGGCAAGGTTTATGAGCAAGGTTCAACGACCTGGAATTTGAAGCTGCCTGAAAAGTTGTTGCTTTTGGGTCAATAAATTGTAAGCCCAACCCACCTTTGGACTCCCAGTCCTAGTTGTCCCAGAGGTAGCGGCCTTGATAGGTTTGGTGGTATTTACTGCCAATACCTAGATCTTCAGTCCGGCACTTTTACAGGGTCCGGCGCCGGACTTCCAACTCCGGCGTTTTTCTGGATTTGGTCCGGCGCTTTTTCCAAGTCACTTTATGTGGATTCTCAAGGCTTTGCATTCTTTGTGGTTTGCATTTCTTTGAAGGTAAACCCACTACTGATGCATGCAATGATTTTGTTTGCAAAGTGTGCTCGTTTGCCTGTTCCGCTGTTTTCTCATTCCACCGGTTTCAGCATGGTTCACACTGGATCAATCAGATCCGTTTAGGTGATCTTCTAAATGAAATCGGATGAAGCCGGTACAGTGCGATGCACCTGTTGAAAGACCCAAGTGAGTGTACCTAAGCTGAAAGAGCATAGGCAAAAATGTACTCCCATTGTTTCAGGATGTCGGGGCGCTGGGATATAGTTCTAGCTGCGCAGGTTTGCAGAGCCTGCCGGACAAGTTTTGGGCTGTGGAACATGTGTTGTTCAGAACCTCAATGTTTTGCAGAGAGTTGTCAAAAAATGGCACGTCGTAACTCCGGCGTAATTTTCCGTAATTCCGGCGTAATTTCCCGTAACTCCGGCGTAATTTCCCGTAACTCCGGCATTTTTTTGGACTGAGTCTTCTGCAGGCTTTGATTGTGAACAGTTTTTCACAGAAGAGCTTTGACAGGAACCATGAGTTCAGTTCTGCTACTACTTTATTGGGGGGCCGTCCTGAGGCAAGCTTTAATGAAACATTAAGAAGCATAAGAATCATGGAGAGCAGCCCACTTTGTAAAAAAAACACTTCAGAGACACGGTTGCAGAGAAAGAGGGGTTCCTTGCCACATACTCCTTGGTTTTTTCTTGGAAGTCTTTGCTTGGGCACAAGTTGCTTATATTGTGTGACGGTTTTGCTCTTAGGCCATTCGGAAGATGGGCGAGGGCAATGGGAACGGGAAGGTTCGAGTGTGCTCCAGAAAAACTACTCGCGGCGCAAAGGCAGTTTCCTTGTGTATGATCCAACCTTTTATCATCTGTTTTTCAGAATCTTGGATCCGGATGTTTTTTCAGGTCTCCGGCGTTTTTTTCGGAATCCGGCGGAAAATTTTGCCGGATTGAGGTCCGGCACTTTTTCCGCCCAAAGGAGGATCCAGGTATAGGGATGGGTCAAAGTGTGGAGCCCTGGTACACAGGTACACCATGTAGTTTGACCATGTTTGACCTGCCAGGGTAGGTCAACCAGCCATCTTTGCCGATATTTGCCCACGCTTGTCCAAGAGAGGTTAAGTGACCTTATAGGACCCTACTGTACCCTACTGGAGTACCCAACTGGGATAGTCAAGTTCGGGTCTTTCAACCTCTGTTGGGTTGAGCCCCAAACCCCCATGGTGACGCCGGTCCCCGAGTGCGTTTCTCCGGTCCCCGCGCGCGCGCGCGCGGTGAGGTTGTCAGACACGCCACGTGCTGCGCAGCATTGCTCCGATGATCTCGTTCAGCAATCCACAGGCGTTTCGCGGCGTCGTTTCCATGGACCGATGGACCTGGTGGAAAGTGGAGGAAAACCTCTACCCTTTGGGATGGTAGTTTCGATATGGTTTAACTTTTGGATACATGATGTGTCCCTTTGGGTGGTGGTTTCGTTTGCATTATGTTAGATGTATGTGGCATGTCTTTTTAGATGATCCCCCTGACTGATATTGTTTGTTGGTGAGTTGCAACGCACCTATTCCGCCATAACCAGCCCCGGATTTTGGCACAAGTTGGGTGGTTTGCACCTTTAGATCGCCATGAGCTGCCATCATACCATAGTGGGTGTCACTTGCTTTCGGCCATGGAGACCTTTTGAAGGGTCCGCGAGCGCAGCGCGCGCAGGCTTGAGGACTACCTCATTGTGCAGATTGGAACAAGTCTTCCCTGCCCCCCCCGTGAAAACTATCAGAAATTGTGAAATCATTTTTTTGTGTGGGACCCTCGGCCATTATGTTGCTATTGAATTGCCTGGATGGTTGGAAGTGACCATCAGCACCGAACTCACCATAATAGGAACGTGAATCCTTTGTCTTTCAGACGGACACCTTTGATATCACTTGATGGCGCTAAAGCGAGGTTTCTGGGGTGAAGTATGCTCATTCCGAGTGATCAAAGAAGATTGGACGTACATGCTGTTGTTTGCCACATTGTGCTGCAAAACTGGTGGAGATGTTACTGAAATCACTTCAAAAAGCAACGGGTAGCCTCGCGCATCGCTTGGTTTTCCTTGTAAGCATCATCAATGCATATGATTTTCTAGGTAGTTGGGCATACTTCGATCGGTATATACCAGCACCATCCAAAGGGCGTGTGTAAACCGCCCCTTAGCTATAGGGTCTATTAATGTCTATTAGGGTACCCTTGGGTGGTGCTGGTATTATTAGTTTCCTAAACATCTTATTTATATTCAGTCCGAGATATTCGACCTGAGCTTCACCACCAGACCTGACCTTCAGCGAGGTCTATGAGCGCTTCAGTGGAGTGGCGAAGGTCTTGTCCAGTTGGAAGTTCATGAAGGCGAGGAGCACGAGCCAACAGTCCCAGAAACGAAGGGTTTGGGACTGGCAGTCCTGACTCCCGCTCTCACTTTGGGGCTGGGCTGGGCGAACCATGAACCTTTGCAACATGGTCCCACCTGCGACTTACAGAAGCCACGCCCGTGCAAAGACGATATTTTGCATGGCGAAGCTAGAGAGTTCCAAAGGCTTTATAGACGAATTTCGTTTATGCCAGGGCCCCCTAAGGGGTGGTTAATAGACACCCATTAACCTCCAAGGAGCCATTATTGGACACCTGTTAGGGGGCCCTGGTCTATTTTACTTCTGAGCCGTTTTGTTTCTCGAAATGGCATGAACCAAACTTCCATCCTGTTCTATCTTGTTGAGTGGGTTTCCCCACTTATCCTACAACAAGTTCGGTGATTTGCAGGTGATCCACATCCTTCCTGGGTAAGAAGACCAATTCCACCTTTGGGTCAACCGTGTCAGCCCCCACGCCGGACCCAGCATGCATCATCCACTGATACTGGGCCTGGGATATACCAAAGCTGCCTCTCGCGCGACCGGCGCGACGTTGGGCTTTGGAGAAAGGACCTGCCCAGGGCAGGACAGTCGCAGTGGATAGACCTTGACTGTCCGAACAGGCGAACTGAACCAGACCCGAAGATGTCCTTTTGGTAGAAGGGATATGAAATGATATGAACCTAGTCCCAACCAGAAACAAATGGTTGTTCCAATATGGCAATTGAAATCCTTTACGTAGGATATGAAGGGATTTCAAAACCACGAATCAGTTCAGGTTAGACTCGATTTCGGCGGACTCAGGCTGGACGGTGAGTAAATGTACGTACGACCCAAGCTCTAAGAAACAGGTTGACCTGGCTTTGCTGTCCTTAGTAAAACAGCCAGGTTCTTTGAGTGAAAAGCCTCCTGCTTCTTCCAATGCTGTTCAGCCTCCTTCTCTCGCCTTTCGCGAAGAAAGAACCACCTCTCTCCCTCTCCGGGCACGACGTGGCGCCAGATCGACTTCGCGATCATCGGCACTGGTGGCTGCGGCACCACCTCGCTGCGGCGGAACTTGGCGCAGCCGCACGGCTGCGCCGGCCGCGGCCGCGGGGGGGGGAACGGCGTCGCCGCCGCGGGGCGCGAGGGTTCGAAGAGACCGAGGCGAAGAGAATCTATGGGAATCTATCCCGTTTAATGGGACTGCCATAGGACTGCCGATCAGGCCAGGGGTGGTTTGAGGGGTCAATGGCGTCACATGGAGTGTTTGGGTATAGTTTTGTTGAGGAAAACCATATGTTTTGGCATTGCACATCATTACACCCTGGAAGAGATCTACAGTGGAACCTCAAAACAACTGCAGTGTGGTAGGTTGGGAAATCGTCTTCCAAAGGTGGTGGTTTTGCTGTTTGTGTTTGTCGGGTCGTAGATGTCAATCTGCCTGTTTTTGTGCTTGGTTGGGGGTCAATCTCAAAAACTACGTTCGTAGCTTCTTGTTACTAGTAGGCGATGCACTCGCTACTAGCAACATAAATACTAGTAATTCCCTCCTTCCAACCATGGGACTGGAACTCTTCCAATCTCATGGATGGCCATGGATGGCCTGCTTTCCTCAGGCAGCTGGAAGCCGTCAGACAGGAAATCACATTGAAATCACCGGGTTTTTGAACACTCACATGGTCCGTTTGCGCTGCACCTATATGGATTTCAGCCCTCAGATGCATCAGGATGTTCCTTTTAGATGGCATAGTCAACACGAGTTAAGTGTTGTACAGCTGGCGCTTGGTTGATGAGCGGTGGAGACTCCATCAAAAGCATCCAAATGTTGAACATTAAATTATAGTATTGAGATGTTAATGTTTGATATGATTGATCTTTCACAGTTTGTACTTGTGAGCTGGGCATGGTCAATGAGGGTAGGTTCGATTTGACATCAACTTCTCAGTGCCAACATCATGTTCTTCCTCAGGAGTTGCGGTTCCAAACAACGATCACGTCCCAGCCACACTGGTGCGAGCCGGCCGTGGGAGCCCCCACAGCCCGAGGCATGCGGAGGTGCGCTTTACCAACGAGAATGAGGATGAACTCTTTGCGCCAGGCTATGCTTATGAATACCAAGGCGACCGAACTTGGCCGCGAGCTTCGCGAGGGTTTTGGGAGCTGGATAGATAAGGAGCTCAAAGAAATGTGTTTTGTCCGGCTTCTCAGAATCACTGGCTTGATATGGCTTGATAGGTCACTGAATTTCCTTGGACTTTTTTTTACTTTTGGGGAAGCACTACTTGTAGTGAAAGAGGCAGGTGGTTGTGCCTGGGAATGGACAGAGGTTGGAGGCCAACAGAAACAACTTGCCGCACAGCATTGTTCATGTTGAAATGCCGCTTTGGAACCACCAAGCGGCCGCTTCGAGCCTCCAACTCCCTGACAGGAGCAAACAATCAAGCCCATCAGCCTGACTGATGATGGTTCCGGGACCTTCTTGTTCCCCCTTCAAACAAGCCAATCTCTCTGGAGGTCCTTTTTAGGATGTTCCCTCCAGGTTCCTTAAGCAAATCATTTTCAGAATTCGATCTACTTGATCAAAACGGTTAAAGAGCTTGCGCGCCCTGCAGTGATGTGACCCCATCACTATCGACTTCTCCAGCGGCGAAATGGCTACATCCATCTACATCCCCAAGTCACTTGATGTGACTTGAGCTCCCGGCTGTACAATGGATGATCGCTATAATTTGTTTGCAAAAGGTTTCTTGAAGCCTGAATGAGGAGGCCAAGTGAAAGATGTGAAAGGGCCTGTGGCTTCAGTGAAGGCCTGCGCCTTTCCCTCCAGAGCTTGCCTGAAAAGCGCCGCCAAGACCTCCGCGATCCAACGCAAGATCCGAAAGATCCTGCCGCGGGCAAACGCCCGAGACCGGGCCTGTGCGTCAAAAAGACCACCGGAACAACTGAGTTTTGCAGAAGTGTGACCGAAAGACAGCTGGAGTCAACGAGCGTGGGTGACAACTTGTCCTTTGAGCTTGTGGAATCTTTGGGCCACTTTTCTTGTGGAAGAGACACGGAGCTTGAGATTTGTGTAACAATAACAAGGTGCGCAAGGTGTGCGTGGTTGCCAGCAAAGCAGCAATGGGCTAGCAGCCAGGCCAAGAGAAGCACCGCCTGAAGCTGGTGACCATGGTCAAATTGATGGTGTTTGAGTTGACGATGTTGACGATGCAGAACTTGACATTTACATTCCCTGGAACTAACATGGAAGTGGAGAATGGCCCCTTGGAAGACCATTTTCCACTACAAACAGGTGGTTTTCCACTTCCATGTTAGTTTTCGGGAGTGTAGCCATCCCGGCCCAAGAGTTTGAGTTCCCATTTGTTCGCCAGGTGGATTCCGCTTGCTCCCCACGGAGGTTCGGCGGGAGTACGTGCGAGGGAAACGTGCGTGCGTTGTTTTGACGGCCTCGCTGGGCAGTTCGGGGGGCAACGGCAATGGTGAACGCGCGTGGGACGATGCGTCAAAACGTAGCGGTTTTGGGGTCTCTTCGACCTTTGTGCAGGCCTGGCCTAACAAGTCACTTGCACCGAGAACACGCATATATGAGGAGCAGGTAAGAACCGCGGAAGGTTTGATGTATCAGAATTTTGGTTGATTTTAGGAAGGTCACTCACATTCACATGCATTCACTCACTCTCTCACACTTACTCTCACTCACACTCACAATCTGTAGAAGAGGGGAGCCCAAGCAGTGCCAACCAGGTTGTTTGGTGAGATTTCCGGACTGCAGACTTTCCATCGCAGGCGCAGGTGAATATGGTCCGCTGCGGCCGGGCCAGGCGAGCCCGGTCGAACCTCCCTCCGGGCTTTCTCGACACCAGTCCGACGCTCCAATGAGACACCAGTCCTTCGTGGCCCACGGCAGACTGGTGGCAGACTGGAGTGGTGAATCTATAGGTGAATTTCCTCTCCATTCCCGGTTCCATGGAGCATGTTCTTTTTCTCCCCAGAGAGCGAAGCTATGGGATTCTGCCTAGCTGGGTCTATGCTGACCCTCGCTGGGTCGGACGGGGCGCCGGACTGGACGGAGCCAAACCTGTCGGTTGAGGTTCAGGTTCTTTCTCCGGGTCCCGGGACTTGGCACCGGTGCATGGTCTAGATCGGTCTAGGTTGAGTCATGCCCCGTTCAGCAACTGAAATGATCACAACCAATGGATTTACTTTGGCTTTGGATCTTCCCAGAGATACCATATCGGCGGGAGGGGGAAGGTCGTAGACGGTCAACAAAGTAGGTCCATGTAGGTCAATGCTCCGAGCCAAGCATCAGATGGTTTCAAGTTGAAATTATATACGTCTTTTTGTAGTGTTTGTTATTCTCAAAATTCAGTTGCAAATGGATTTGTTCCAAGGCCGGCAACTTGTAGACTACTGGGTTCGGATGGGAGGCTGAGGAGTTTCAGTAGAGCAGTCAGAGTGTAGCAGAGAGAACTTGACTCCAGGATAGCTTGTGGGAAACCCCCTGAAATGGCAAGAACACTCACCATAGATATTCTTTACATGCTTCAATCGTTCCTGAATACTACATAGACATAGCAAGCCTGGGCCTCTCCAATATTCGCAAGGCATCGAGTGGTGACCCTGGTACCATGGTAGCAGAGCAACCCTAGTATTCCCATGTATGTTTCCTTGTCAGCAGGGTCGTTAGCCACTCAACCTCTGAGCGCAAGGCAGGGCATTCGACCCGCAACGAAACGGTGACCTTGTAGTAACAGAATGCGCAGTGCAATCATGATCAATCATGCTAACCTAAGACCCAGCGGTTTCCACATGTTTCCACCTCTGTTTCAGGTGATGTCCGCTTTGTGCAGGTGGTTTCCGCTTCCTTCAGGTGCATTTCTTGTTCAGGAATGTGATAGTAGCACTCATTTTTTAGTTTGCGGCCGTCTTCGCGGTGCACTTGCAAATATATATATATATATACATATATACCCACCTGCCCAAACCCCCAGGTACGGCCCTTCTTATTGGCCTCCATGGCTTTACGGGGGATTTGAGTGGCCCCAGATCCGGAGCAGATGCTGTCGTCCAGGTTTTCCCTTAAGCCAAATTGCTCGGGTCAACATGATCGTCCCCACTGACCCGTTGCACAAAAGCTGCGGATCTCACGCAGAAGGTGCCACGGAGAGAGGAAGGAAAGAGTGGTGCTAGGAGTGACGCTGGGGCAGCAGGGGTGGACTTCGTTCGGCGGTTCGCACCCATTAGGTCTCCACATCGAGCCGTACCGGAGTCTCAACCGTTATACTGTTATACCACCATGACCGCACCCCAGAAAATCGAAAGCGACAAAAAGTAGGTACGAGGACCAGGACCTTGAAAGTGACCTCTTTGGTCTCTCTAACTGACCGCCTCCTGGGATCTCAAAAGGTCACTGGCACATGGCACGGGGGCACATGGCATTTGATAGCCAAACTTGGCGTCTTACTATAGAGAAGCATTTTCCTTGGTATATCAAAAAGAGGACTTAGTAATTGAGATAGTTTGAGCGATGGACCCTTCGCAGGCGTCGATGCTGTTTGCTCAGCGGGGGCGCGTTTTTTGGCGCGGTAAGCAGACAGTTCAATGGACGCATGAAAAACAGCACCAGAACCTGTTCTCAGATGTTCTCAGCTCACCTTCTTAAATTGGTTGGAAGAACCAATGATATCAGAACACTGGGCCACTGCCGGCGCATGCTGGCGCCCTTCTTCGTCATGGACTCCGTCGCCTGCGCGTCTTCGCCCCAAGTCCCCACCAGTCTGGAGTCCGAGCTTCAGGAAGAACTTCCAGCTGCACAACTTCGATTTCGGACGCTAGGACCGGAATTTGGGAGGCTATAGCAATCCCTATCTATCGCTAGCTGTAGAGGCATGACTGGTCGAACACTGCGACGATGAGGCGCAGAGGGAAGTCTTTCTCACTTAGAGGATAATTACACGTAATTGCGAGAGGCAACTGAGTGCTTTCAGTGGTTTCCCAAACACAAAAACCGTGAGGCTGGGAACCGTGGTTTCTTACGTGGTAGAATTCCCAGGCCCATTGGGTGTTGGTGAGGTGTGGCCAAGAATGGGACCAGAATGGTAAAACTTTAAGACTTTTAGGCATCGCGCCACCAAGACAGCAAGTAGCAAATGGCCATAGGCTATAAGGCAATGTTTTCATTGAGGTTATGCCGGTGGAATGGGTTTGAGAACTGGGTTTCAACACGTATTGATGCATGTGTTTTGTTGGTTTCCATGTCACACGTGTCAGATACTGTACTTTCCTCACGCTGCACAACTACACATGTCCCCACGTGAAAAGGGATGAACAGGGTGGCAATGTCTCCATCCGGAGAAGCACGCCGCACTGTCTCATGGAGCCAGAGCATAGGAACACCGACCAGCCCGGCACTAACAGAGCGCGGTGTGTGAGGCCTGGTGGCGCTGAGTATGTTGGACAGGGTGAAACTCATCATGTTGGTGTGCGATCCCTTGGATCGCTTGGAGCCTCGGCTTGGCGATCGCTTTTGGGCGAGCTTCATCGGTAGAGTAGAGGGGTAGTATAGATCACTGTGCAATGGCAATGACATGCAATGACTGTGTTTCCTGCCATGTGAGATTTTTAGGAAAGGAGGAGCAAGCAATTTTGCAACGTGCCAGTAGGCAGCTGCCGCCAGATTTACAAAGAGTACAGGGAATAGGGAGGGAGATCGATATGTAATTGATTCATCGCCAGAGTAGTTGAACACTCCGGATGTTGATTCTTTGCGGGTGTTCAGCCAGCATACATTTGGGTCTGTCATATTACCTGTAACAGTCAGTCAACAATTATCACTGTTTTTGAACAAGGCTTGCAACGGAACCATCATCATCCTTTGTTATACCGGTAATGGGGTAGACCCAAGCATACATTTCCCAAACACTTGCCTACATTGACCCCTCAAACCAGCCCAATGTAGGCATATATGGCATACATGGAGTGTTTGGGTTTGGCCTACAAGTATATGCCTACAAGTATGCCTACATTGACCCCCCAAACCAGCCCAATGTAGGCATATATGGCAGTCCCATGGAGTGTTTGGGTTTGGTTGCCAAGGAGAAAGTGCTCCACTACTTCCACTGCGGCTTCGACGCGCAGACCCGCCAACACTGTCACTCGAAGGATGCCCTCAGGGTTGGACGGGCTTTGCTGGGACTGGGCCCGGTGGTGTCCAGAAGGACTAACAAGCATAAAACCGGGAAAGCAACGTCAGATCGTTATAGATCGTGTGCAAACATGCAAACGCCAACTCGGCCGAAATGGATGGATCAAGAGAAGTTTTTGAGTTTCTTCAGGCGTATCAATCAGCGCATCAATCATAGCTTTCAGTTTGCTGACACTTGGTTCCTACCTATCTATATGCTCAATGGACTCTCGTCACCATTTGACCCAAGTTCGACGTCAGCGCCTGGCTTGTGGCCAACGCTCCAGGGATCGGTCGGCATCGCTGGATCTTCCAACGTGTGACACGAGCGGGGAAACGACGTTGACCAGGTGGCCACGACCTGTCTGGGACTGCCATGTCGGACTGCCGACAAACGGCCCAGGGATGGTGAAAGGGGGGATCTTTTCTGGGGCGGCAGTCCTGGCAGTCCCAGACAGGTCGTGTTTTGGGGTTGGCATCGCTGCGTTGGCGGCACGGCCGCGTGTGCCGCTGTTGCCGAATTTTGGGCCTTGCAAGGCCAGAACCGCACGGTGATCGATGAGATTGTGGCGAAGTGGTCCAGTGTGGCCCATTTGGTGGAAGAGACACTCTGATTCGATACGGGGCACCTGACGGTGAGAAGTGAGAATGCTGAATGTAGAAGGCACCAATTCCAAAGACACCATTGTTCAGTGGTCTATGGCCCCTTTTGCGGTTTAGTCAATCTCACTACCGCAACTACTCTGAAATGACAGTTGTTCAACATTTTCCGGTTTATCACAGATTTTGGCCGGGAAACTCGTGGTGGATGTCCTGAGACGTCCGGAGAGGGTTGGATTTTGGAAGTGGAGCCGTTCCAAGACTTGTGGGGTGGGCAAAGGCTTTCCTATGCAAGTCTCGGTTTCTGTGGTAGTGAAGATGCACAGGGACAAGTGCGTACTGCGTTCTCATTTGATGGGACTGAAGTATATCGACACTCACACCTATAAGAGCCAACTGTGACCTCTATTTTGGACCACCAAGCGCCCTATCTTCAGGGCCCTTTCCGAAAAGGAGACCAAATGGTTCTAGATGGTCATAGGTCCATAGGTGTTAATAATATGATACGTATGATATATAATGATGATACATTATGATACGTACTTTTCAAATGTAGGCAAATATGACATTCCGGGGCCATGCCATCCACTACCATGACAATTTCGGGGAGCGTAATTGTAATTGTGAATCTATAGGCACGAAACCACTGGGGGAGCATTGAGGGAGTAGCATGAACAGGCAGCTTTCGAAGCATTGCGGGGTTATACCCCAAAGAAACTATTTCTTCACCAGAACGGAAGGCAGAATGCCTTTCAACATCTCGCCGGTGACTTCCCCCAGAATGTGTTGATGGACTTCAGCACCAACCAGAAGTTCAGTAGAGTCCCTCCACGTGGGAAAGTTTGTGTGATGAAATCAGGCGGACCACATGATGCGTGAAGACGTTACTCTTTGACAAACACATCACATGGAACTGGACGGTATGGGCCGTGGAAAGACAACTTTCGTCCACAAACAGGGGGGGCTTTTCCAGGTGAGTTTACTTTTTCCTCCTCCCGCACTGAAACCATGGTCGACCGTGTATGTGAATTTTGCCTCAGGCATAAGGAGCATTGGGTTGCCGCACGGCGGTTGCTCATTGTGGTGGCTTGGTGTGACCATTCCGATGCAAGTAGGACCTGCCGGTTTCAGGGAGGTGTTTGGTTGCCATGAATTGGATGTAATTACTGGCAGGTGGATGAGCCTCCAGGCTTCCAAGATGCTTGTAGATGGATTTGTGCTGCCAACAGCCGGTTAAACATAGATGATAGATCAGATCATGAGATACTAGGCAAATTGAGAGATTATTATGTTGTTCCGTTTTCTGGTGAGTAGTAGAATTGTAGAATTGCATGACATCCAAATTCCAATGCTTCAGGACTTTTTGTTGGGTTTGGTGGTCGCCCCCTCCGAAGAGGGCTCCAGTCATCACAAGAGAAGATTTGATCGCTCGACCTTCAAACATGCAACGCTGCAAATGCACTCCAGTCCTTGAGAAGAGTACAGTGGAGATCAGTGGAGTCATGAAACTCTCTTCTCCAAACATATTTCTGCCCTTTTTGTTGGGTCCCAGGTGGTTGTCCCCTCCAGTTGACTCCATAGATGCACTCCAGTAGACGAATGCACTCCAGTAGACGAATGCACGTCACATATGTATGCATGCAAGCTGCGGTAGTTAAAATAACAAACAGGCCCTGGCAACCAGGACCTCGTGAAATTTGATAGCACTCCAGTTGACTCTAACTCTATAGAGAAGAAGTGCACCTCCACGCGCTCGTTGAAGAAGTGCACCTCTTTCCAGCGGATGCTCAGCTCGTCTTCTCGATCGGAATTCCAAGTATCAGCAGTGTGCGGAGCGTTTTGCCTGTTGGATGTAGAGGCCTTTCCCATTAGCAACGACTGCCACACGGTTCGTGGCACTATAATATTGGCGCGCTCTTAACCGAAGCGGTGAGAGATGCAGCGAAAGTGCACCCTCACCGCCCATGACGAGGGCTACAGTCACATCAACCACAATGGCCACGAAGCATAAGCGTATACTCTCAATCGACCATATCCAGGTGAGGCCAGAATCTACTCCTGGAAAATAAGTAATACATGATGCAAGAACAAACTACAGAATATTGGAAAGAAACAGAACTATATAGAAGATATAAGCAACAGAAGGAAGAGACCACAAGGAAGGAAGGAAGGAAGGAAGGAAGGAAGGAAGGAAGCAAGAGAAAGACAACCAGAAAACTCTAGAAAGCACAAAAGATAGCAGCAAAGATAGACCGTGACGGACAGAAAGAGAAAGAATATACATGTATCAACACATCAACATTTGAGATTTGAGGAGCCCATGGCCGAATACATGAGATGCTCGGCCCCCCCAGCCTCGCTTTGACCCTTGCTCTTGGTTCACCAAAAACCTACCTTGTGCCATCCTGTCCATGCCGCCTCTTTGTCCTTTATAGAAAATTGAAAATTATCCGAGTAGCAAGATTTCAAAAGAAAACCGCCAAACGCAGCAAAGATTTGAAACACTTTTTGAGCAAACCGTCAAACGCGGCCAGGAAAGAAACTCACCACACGCTGCGAACGTGTTTGTTTTTGTTTGTTCATGTTAACTTGTTTCTCTCTTTCACACACTCCGGGTTTGTCCCACACTCCAATGCGGAACCGCACCGTCCCGTTCGCTGTGCGGGGCGTGAACTCGCTTTCTCGGGAACGACCACCCTGCCGCGGTCGATCCGCTGAGAGCAGCCTCTTCGACACCCGCGACGTCATGGTGGCGGCCTGGCGTTGGCCCCTTCGTTCGACCGCAGGGCCCGACGACTCGGACGAGACAAACTACACGACGGTCACGGACGGTTGACCAAGAGAGGTAGCCAGTGACCTGAACTAGGACCCGTCACCTGGGGTACCCAACTGGGATGGTCTATAGGGTCCTTCAACCTGTGTTGGTAGTGGAATGGGATATACTGCATGTAGTTGGTCCATGTTGGTTCCGAAAGGAAGACCCACAGCTCTCCTTTTTACGAAGAGGCTTTTTGTTCCAGGTTCATGTTGGCGAGTCGGAGTGTATGACTTTTGATGAGTTGAAAAGAAACAGTTGGATTGTAAACAATTACTACATGTCCATTAAATACGTTTATACTCCTCAGGTGAGATGGTTTCTCAAAGTTCATCAAGAGTCTACATTTACTGTACATGAAGTCCGAGTCTTGTTGACTTGGTCCGTCCCTCAGCACGTTGGGGTGACACATGTCAGGGTTTGTCTGTGGTCTTTAATGCTTTTCGATCGAATCACTTTGCACCCGGGTCCTTTCCAAGGGAATTGCAATGGCTTGGATTATATGTCTGGAATTTCACATGTCGCCCCTGAAGGATTCATATCCTCACATGTTGTTTTTGACGTGGGCCAGTGAAGTTTGGACCATGACAACCCGTCGGGTAGGGACCTTCCTGCGGGTGGATTGGTGGTGCTTTGGCTTGAGAAACCAGGGGTTTGGAAGGTGGAAGGTCTGGTTTTTTGAGAGTACGCGCGGAGGAATTGAATGGACATATTATTAGAAAACGGATCCACTCGAGGCCAAGAAACTCGAAAAAGAACCTGCCACTGGCTCCAAAGATTCCAAAAGTAAATGGTTTTGTCATGGAGGACTCGGTCTTGGGGACAGAGCGGCTTTCAGGGGATAATGTTTTTGGAGGTGGCGAAGCACCTGCAGACTTGTAGATATTTTGCGAAGAGTGAAGAGTGGACTGAGTAAATACATGGACCCGGTTTTTAACCACCGAACATGTAATGTAGACTCTTGATTAATCAACCCGGCCCCCCCCCGGCCCCCC